TATGAAAAGGTCAGCGATGCTTGTGATCTCATGTAGGGTGTTCATGAACAGAAGAAATGCCGCCCCTCCCCATGGAATCTCCGCACCATTCCATCCAAACCTCACTATAACAGGCAGTAAAGTCTGTTAAAGATAAAGACTGTTTCCACTGTATTAGTATTGCCTAAGTTTAGTTTTCAGCGAACAGACTTTGAAAGTACATGAAGAAAAGGTACATACATGTACAGCTGGTAGTTAATAATCTGGAACAAAATATTAAAGACTCCATGGTTGATGATTATCTTGATTCTCCTCACTCATCTGCTTGTTGTTTTAATATTACAAGGAGAAATTACTTATTGATCACACTTAGGACAAAAATCCTATCAACAAGGAACTAAGACATCTTGAACTTGGGAAAAGCAATCCGATATTAATCTTACCTCTTATGTTTTGCAGTTTTCTCTTCAAGACAATGTCCAGGATCTTCGACAAATTGTTCTTGATCGGCCAGAGAGCTGTTATAGGACTTGCTTTTCCCTACAAATGGATGGTGTACGATTGGATGACTTTGCAGAACTACACATGATTGAGGGTCTGAAAGATGACACCACCATTAAAGTTGTAGAAGGTACTGTATATGTGTTTAGGTGAAGTTTAACAAAAGAGTGAGGATTTTGGGAATTAATATAATTACACCCCTTCCACAAAGCACTCACTAATGGGGCAGGGTTGTCAAAAGTAGCTGCCTGCTGTCAAAAGTCATAGTCTGGGTCCAAGCCAAGTGGCCCATCAGGCTGAAGCTTTATCCTGGTTTCTGTAACATAAGGCGACTAGGAGTATTTCTACTCCCCCTGGATGGGATGCTAGTCCATCGCAGGGTTACCCCCAGCATAAAGGTCACCGGTACCCATTTGTACATCAGGGTGGAGGGAGGCACTGTGAGAGTAAAGTGTCTTGCCCAAGAACACAATGCAATGACCCCAGCCAAGGCTCGAACCCAGACTGCTCGATCCAGAGAGGAGTGCCGCCACTAACCATGAGGCCACCTCCGGTCCAAGGTCATCATTTACCTTATAATCTCAACTGGCTGTTCTGCTGGCTTATATTTCCGAATGAATTCTTAAACAGAGATTGCATTATCAGCCACCTCTTCATTGGCCTCCATTGGTCAGTGCCGACTTTGGATTACACGCCTTTAGTTATAGTAGTACAGTTGTTTGTTGCTATGGTGATGCCACGAGTGGAACAGCGTTGGCTGTGGCTGGTCAGTCCATTCTGGAATGGTAGCCTCAATTCTGGAGTGCAGGCATAGGTGGTTGCAGGGTTATCTCCACAGGGGCATGCCTACTCCAAAAAATAAAGTGGCCTACTTTGTGACAACCCTGATAAGGACCCATGTCTAAATGGCTACAAGTGCCCCCCATCCCACTTTTAGTAAGCTCAGTCTGTATTGTAAATAACACTACTTGGAGATGGCATCATAGCCCTCTTATGTAATGTATTGTCTTATTTATATACACCTAATTGAAGAAATGTTGTCATGAAAAAGGTATAAACCATTAATGATACGACATGATTTTCTGGGAAACTTGTGAACTAGTAGTGATTTGCGTTCTTAGGGACTACGTGCATCTCAAAGCTGTGAATGTTCAAATTTTCTGTTGTTTTCTAGCTGGGTTACCTTTAGGAAGGTATGGGAAGTTTCTTTGTTTTTCTAAATTACCATTTCAGGCAGCTGACCTGTGATTATTGAATGCCACAAGGAAACAATCTTCAATATTCATGCACACGCTTTTCCAGTCGTCCCATAATTCTGTAAAGTCGTATAGTGTATGGTTTATACTTTTGTTCGGACAACGTTTTTTTCAATCAGGTGGATATAATAAAGAGTAATGTGGGTCTACTTACCTTGCAATGTAGGTCGTATGGGGTTAAATGAAATTAAGGTAGAAGTATGCTTGTTAAAAGACTGGAGCTCCCAAAATGAAAACTGATAACCTGGGCACAAAAGAGGCCTATTATAGATTTGATATATTTAAGAATGTTTGTTTCTGTAGACACTTGCCTTGAGCATTTTACCATCACTTAATTCTTGATATCACATTCTGCTGAGTCATCTCATTTTATTTTTACTTATTTTCTCTTGATTGTAGAACCTTATTCAGTGAGAGAAGCCCGAATACATCTTCGACGAATTAAAGATCTTCTTAGTACAAATTTCCATTTGAATGCGTATTCTGCCGTGGACCATCTATCTTTGTCCTTCTTGTCTGCTGTTGCTGGTGTTGATGTGGAAGGTGAATGCATGCGCTGTTTTATGATGCTTATACGTGATGTGCTTATGGTCTATTAAAATATTTGAAAGAAAACTCAGGAATAGAAACCATTTATAATCAATTAGAAGTTTCACAACATTAACAGACCATTGATGACAACTCTTGCTTCTAAATAGTCTAAGCCAGATTTCTTGAGAAGATTGTCACAAGGAAGGAATTTTGAGTATTGAATAGCAGAAATTCTTTTAGCAAAAGTGTGGGGTTAAGTTACCGTATTTACCCGTGTATAATGCGCACTTTTTTTCCAAAATTTATAGTTCGAAATCTGCACTGCGCATTATATGCGGAACCTTTTGTTTGTTGATTACACCGCTACACTCATTTGCATGAATACACGAAAGAACAATAAACTTGGTTTTAATAGNTGTTGTTTTCTAGCTGGGTTACCTTTAGGAAGGTATGGGAAGTTTCTTTGTTTTTCTAAATTACCATTTCAGGCAGCTGACCTGTGATTATTAAATGCCACAAGGAAACAATCGTCAATATTCCTGATCATGCGCATGCTTTTCCAGTCTTCCCATAATTCTATAAAGTCGTATAGTGTATGGTTTATACTTTTGTCTGGACAACGTTTTTTTCAATCAGGTGTATATAATCAAGAGTAACGTGGGTCTACTCACCTTGCAATGTAGGTTATATGGGGTTAAATAAAATTAAGGTAAAAGTATGCTTGTTAAAAGATTGGAGCTCCCAAAATGAAAACTGATAGCCTGGGCACAAAAAAGGCCTATTATAGATTTGATAGATTTAAGAATGTTTGTTTCTGTGGACACTCACCTTGAGCAGTTTACTATTGCTTAATTCTTGATATCACATTCAGCTGAGTCATCTCATTTTATTTTTACTTATTTTCTCTTGATTGCAGAACCTTATTCAGTGAGAGAAGCCCGAATACATCTTCGACGAATCAAAGATCTTCTCAGTACAAATTTCCATTTAAATGCATATTCTGCCGTGGACCATCTATCTTTGTCCTTCTTGTCTGCAGTTGCTGGTGTTGATGTGGAAGGTGAATGTATGCGATGTTTTATGATGCTTATATGTGATGTGCTTATGGTCATTTTACTATTAAAATATAGTTAAATGAAATTTAACATAGTTAACGACTAGGAGTTAGTCTGGTCAGTAGTGTTTTTATAGGCGGTTGTCAGTGTCTTGGCCGTCTGTGAGCGTTTGGTTAGCGTTTGG